ATAGAGGGTGTCGTTTTTCCTCATACTGATATTCTGAACAATCTGTGCTGTTGTATTTGCTGTAAAGTGTCTCTACTGTAGGCTATTTTTATTATATGTACAGCACTTTGGCTCCACCAAAAATCGTTTATAAATGTGCTATATAAATAAAACTTGATTTGATTTGCTATCTGCAGACATTTTCGGATGACTCTTTATAAGGGATGGACGGGAGGAGGAGTATACAGAGCGCTGGTGGGTGATTTTGTGGAGTGGACTGGAAGAAATCATCTGCTTCTGAATGTGGCCAAGACCAGAGAGACGGTCATTGATTTCAGGAGGAAGAGGACGTCTCCAGCCCCTGTGCATTCTGGGAGAGGATGTGGCTGTTGTGGAGGACTAAAAATACCTGGGAGTGCTCTTAGACAACGGTCTGAACTGGAGGATCAACACTGACTCTGCGTACAAGAAGGGGAGGAGCAGACTATTTCCTGAAGAAGCTGAGATCCTTCAACGTGTGCAGCAAGATGCTGGAGATCTTCTAACAGTCTGTTGTGGCCAGTGCACTCTTCTTTGCTGCGGTCTGCTGGGGGCGGCAGCATCAGAGCCGGTGACACCAGCAGAATCAATAAACTGATCAGGAAAGCTGGGTAGTTGTGGTGGAGAGGAGGACACTGAACAGGCTGTTGTCCATCATGGATGACTCCACCCATCCTCCCCACCTGCAGCTGGACGGACAGCGGAGCTCCTTCTCCAACATACTGCTGCAGCTCCGCAAGGACCGATACAGGAAAACATTCCTGCCCACTGCAATAACACTGTACAACAAATCACCTCTGGCTGGCAGAGAACTCTGCTCCATAGTTTCTTCATATATTCAGTCTAATATTTAATATTCCATCTGTCACATACTTATGTAAATATAATACCTTGCTTTATATCATGTATATTTTCTTGTCTTTTAAATTTGTATTGTACAATGCCATGTCTTTTTATGCTGCTGCAACACAAAATGTTTCTCTTACACCCAAACAAATGCAGACAAACAGAAAATCTGTCATAATCCCTGTCCTCAGTTGTTATAGAATTATACTTGTCAGGACCTCGACACAAACTGATGAACCCAAATGCACGACCCAGAGACAAAGTCTTGAATATATTAAAAAAAAGTATATTTATGTTCTCAGTTCAGGTAATCCCTCTTAAACAGAACAGAGTAGGTGGTGGAAATAACAAAAGGTGCTCACAAGGAGGACAAAAACGTAACAAAAAGACGACTTAATAAAAACTTAAAGGTGGGGTAGGTCATTTTGGAGAAACCAGCTCGAGTGCGCTAGAATTTGAAAATACACAGCCGGAAAAAATCTGCCTCCTCCAACACACACGAACGTGCACATGACCAATGAGGGCACGAGATAAGTGTGTGCACAGATGGAAGGCTGACAGGCAGGTAGGTAGTGATGGCAGTTTGACACTGAAGCTTCGAACGGAGCTTCAACCCTGGACTTCCTATTCCATAGAAGCAGTGCTTCGAATCTTGCGTCAAATCACGTGACACATGACGTCCGATGCAGCAACTGCTTCAAATCAGGTGACATCCGAACCAGCAACTGCTTCATTTCCTGAATGAATCAACTCACTGGTTCGCCGTCCAATCAGGTGATTCAATGCACTGCCTCGTCTCTATTCTGACAGGTTGAAACAGTTTCGAATTTGAGCGCTTCAACACTTTATAACCGCTCTAGACAATGCGCAATGTTTGGGTTGTTGTCGTAGTTGATATTGCATTTTAATTGGATCATTATAGAGCAAGCCAGGAAGAAAGATAGGTCGTTCTGGCTCGTGAAACACTTCGAAATGTGGAGAAGTTGTGAACAAAAAGACAATAATTACTATAAAAACACTTCAATAGTTTAAGGAATAGATATCCCAGCGGATAGAGCCGGCGGCCAGGATGCGGCGATGTCCTCCGCGCATCTGGTTCAAAGCCCAGAATAGTCAAACTTTTGATCATTGCTTTTCAACTTTAATAACTGATAAAAGGCCCTCTCCGCCCAAAAATATTTCCAGCACTCTCTAGTCTCTTCTCAATAACCCAATACACACAATTATCAATCTTTAATTGCAAATAGAACATGATATTCAGTCTTAGTGTGTGTGTGTGTGTGTGTGTGTGTGTGTGCATCGAATATTCAGTTCATTATTTCAAGGCAAAGATACGTTAAACCCACTGCAGCCTTGCACTTCGCCAGGAGAGGTCGCTGTAACTGAAGCCTCGAGAAATGAACCTATTTCCGACACAATTGTCCAAGTGGTTCGATGCTTCATTCAAAGCTTTATTTTGCCATCACTACAGGTAGGCCATCCAGTTATTTTAGCCGGGCCGGCTAAAATGATTGGTCGTGCTTTTTACAGTACTACGGCTTCCACAGATGACATTTTTTAATGGATTTTTTGTCAAAGCACTTAAAAGATATTCATTGCTATCGGGATGTTAAGAGCAGTGGCGGTTCTAGACCAATTTGACTGGGGGGGGCCACTGGGGGGCCAGTTATTTTCTGAGGGGGGGCACAATAAATGCAAGACGAAAAAGAGAACTAGACAGTATGAAGTAATTGCGTATAAGAAAACAATGCAATATAGTTATTGGTATTTGTTTCAGTACACTTATTTATTTCAGATATATCTTCTAGTTATTACTGTTAGCTTCAGCTTAAGTTATAGTACCATTTTTGCACTAACACCATATCATATTTATATAAAAATAAAGGCAATGAACAGTTACATCTCTACTTTACATCTACAATTACACGGATATAGTTGAACTCACCTTCAATTATCGTGGTAGTCTCTCGAAACGTAGGTTTCAATCAGTCTTTCTTGGATGCAACAGCCTCTGATGATCCGAGATGAAAAGTGTTTGTTTTTCACACGCTTCAGCCGGACAGTGAAAGTGAGTGCACCGCTCTAATGGGTCCGACTAGAATGACGAATAACGTTAGTTCCACCTATTCCGTCATTCAATAAATCGTGTAATAAATCATACATTTTTCATTTTTAGGGGGGGACACAGGGGGTCAGAGGTCAGTGTTAGGGGGGCACTGGCCCCCCCTGCCCCCCACCCCTAGAACCACCCCTGGTTAAGAGCATTCCATGGAATATAACAAAAAGTGTATCTCGAGCTGGTTTCTCAAACTTACCTACCCCACCTTTAAGCCAACAAAATAAACAAAATAACAAAACCTGACATGGGTGAAAAAGCGATCCTTTCTGAGCTGAGGCTTGGCACGACCATTTGGGGAAACAAACAAGACGAACTGACACAGGACAGGGGAGAGACAGGACTATTTAAACATGAGGTGAGTGGGAACAGGTGGAAACAATCAGGGGCGGGGCAGACACTGATGATGGCGGGAAAAACACACAGGGGGAGGAAGAAAACAGGGCCTGAAATGAAAGGCAAGAGGTAAATACAAAATAAAACAGGAAACACATTTGACGAGACACAACAATACTTGGATTGAAAAATATTGAAATACGGTATTGTCTTGAATTTTTGGAGAATAATAAAGTGTGTGTGTAGAGAGGAATAGACACTTAAAAAACACATGTAGGCTATTACTTGTGTTTCTGCGAGTCACATTTGTTGCTAAATATTAAGATGTATAGTCATTTATTCCGTCTACTCCATAACCTACAGATCTCATTATTTAATCAAAATAAATGATAGATCCGACACTACAGGTAGAGAAACACTGTCTGTATCGAGCGCTGCCTCTATATGTGTCCCACCGCCACAGTGACAGCACTGAAAGAGAAGTGTGTGTTTCAGCATGTTGCATTGACGCAGACAGTAGTGCATACCTATGCATATCCCCCGTTCTAGAGCACACCATTTATAAACAAACAAAAAAAAAGAAACATGGGTCACCACCCCTTTTCCAAGGCCCCACAAACCCCACACATACACACACTCAAATGTACAAGGTCACATTCACTGTGGTCCCTGTGGTGTCTCATTCAAGTGCATCCCACACAGCGAGGGTGATTGCTGCAAAGGATTTTGCTTTAATCGACAGGAAAACCAGGGGACAACTTTTTGGTTGTAGTATTGTCTGTGACTCCCCCTCTTTTCCCGAAAGTGAGCAGCATCTCTCTCTCTCTTTTCCCTTCCACCCGCTTCTATCTTTACCTGGTGGGCAGTAGAGAGGGTGTATTTCCAGAAACAAGGTAAGGGATCAAATATCAGGGTGCTTTTTGTGTGTGCATCCCAGCAATACATTTTGATTGGACAGAGGCTGGCAGAATCAGATAAAACCTCATTACAGCCGAACAAGCACTGAGGATTGGGAAGGGGAACAACAAACTGCAACATCAAAGCTATTCCTCTAATCAGTTCAACTAGTAGTGATGGTTCCACTAAAGCAGAGGTAAATATGGTTGAGTAAAAGTTTGGTACAATATGTTATTGTACATAACGCACGGGCAACTATAAGTGTCCTTGTGTATTTTTCATTTATGAAGTAATATTTTCAATTTGGATGTATGCTTCATATTTCTGTGGTTGTCCTAATGGGTATGGATGTATGATTGGCAGGCATCAAGTGTGCTATTCAGACAGAGCTTCAAAGGCATGATCAAGTTCAATTTGATTTCACATCCCTTTTTTTTATTGGATCATTTGTTTCGTTTTTGGAGAATTTGTATGAAGATGCTGAGTGCCAATGCATTTTTTACCATGATGTCAGGAACATATTTTAATTCATAGTGTGCTTTTTGAGCATTGTATAATCAGCCTTTGGGGTTGCAGGTCTTGTGTTGAGCAACCCCTTTATTGCATATTGACAAAAAAATTATCCTTGTCTTCAGTGCAAAATCTCTTAAATTAGATTTGAAACATTGAAATTATGTGGGTGAACATTTGTGTGCAGTACATGATTTTTATACAATATCCTTAACTTCCATAATTTCCCTTCCTATGTTACAGTTGCTCTGCAGCGGGCCCGTTATCTCAGCTCAAGATGTACAGCTTTATGGGAGGGGGCCTTTTCTGTGCCATAGTTGGTAATATCCTGTTGGTGGTCTCCACTGCAACGGACTACTGGATGCAGTACCGTCTCTCTGGAAACTATGCCCATCAGGGCCTGTGGAGGTACTGCATCTCCAACAAGTGCTACATGCAGACTGACAGCATAGGTAAGGATGCTCAGGGTGTCAAACCCTGATAAGATGACTATCAGGAATTTGTGTTGGGTTGCTCTGTTTCCACGCAGGTTTTGATATACCGCTGTGTGTCTGGACAGTGATCACTGAGCCTAAACCCCTTGCGAATCATTTTAATTTAGGTTCCTGTATGCACCAGATTAGGCTTGTTATATGCTTATACATATTTATTTTGTTGTGTAAGAAACACACTTCTGATTTCCATATTCAGCCTCATTATGTGCGTCTGATATTTGGGTTTGAGTTTGTTGAGTATGAAAAGAACAAGATTATTTCTCAGAATAATTCAAGCCAAACGGTTGAATAGCTTTATTAAGTTGCCCAATGATGAAGTGGTTAGAGCATGCCTGAGCTAAAAACCAAAATCATAATGGGAAGAATTTAAAGTTCCTTTCACAGAACAATACATGGAGGTAATTAAGTGAACATTAAAGTGAAAAGAAAAGAAAAAAACAACTCAATAATTGTAGTTCTATTCAGAGGAAGTGAAAAGGCATGTCAGTAATTAAGGAAGAGACTGAGATTTTTCTGAAGGGGGTTTGAAAGAGACAGGTGCTAAATGTCATTGATGAAATGTAACAAATTACATTTACTTAAGTATTGTAATGATTATTTTGACCTTGTTTTGCTTTACTAAAGTATTTCCATTTTATACTACGTATAATTCTACTCCACTCAGCTAATTTGAACATATAAAAGTATGATATCCTTATATGACGTAAAGCGGTACTGTACCGATAATATACCCAGTATTTTAAAAAGTAAAATTAGCTGATTTTTGACAAACATAAATGTAAAACATAATATGACTATGTAGTTGTTATTGATCAAAACGGGATAAAATACTATTCTATGATAAAAAAATACTGTGAAAAGAGCCATTCTGCATATTGAGTTCCTTAACTTTAGATACTTGAAGTAGATTATGCTGATAATGCTTCTGTACTTATACTTAAGTAGCATGATCAATTCATGACTTTTACTTGTAATGGGATATTTTAAGACCATCGTATTTTACTTTTACCTAAGTAAAGGGTCTGAGTACTTCTTCGAACTCTGCTTGAATGTAACGTTACAGACAGAGGGTAAATAAAGTTCTTTCTACACAGACAATATGTCGATAATAATCTTTCTTTCTTTTCCACATTAAAGCATGTAAACACTTTCTAGTAGATGACCAAATCGAATGTATGAACCTAAATAAAAGCATGTGTCCTTTAAAGGTATTTACATGTTTGTAAAGCTATTTATAATGATGCTCTGCTGATTTCTACCTGTTTCTTTCCAGCTTACTGGAATGCGACCCGGGCCTTCATGATCCTTTCAGGGATGTCTTGCTTTGCCGGCATCATAGCTGGCATCATGTCTTTTGCTCACTTCTCCTCTTTTGAAAGGTTCAACCGCTCCTTTGCTGCAGGAATCATGTTTTTCGTCTCCAGTGAGTCTGGTTTCTTCTAAATCAACACACAAACCATAAATGAAACATCAATCCTTACTGACATTTACATCTCTCTCCCCACAGCTTTCTTTGTTCTGCTCGGTATGGCCATTTACACTGGAGTGACAATCAACTTCCTCGGGAGACGCTTTGGGGACTGGCGCTTCTCCTGGTCCTACATCCTGGGCTGGGTGGCCATGCTCATGAACTTCTTTGCAGGTGAGAAAGGACAAGGCTTTGTCCAGAGTTAAAGGAAGAAAATGACCTTTTTGTAATGTATTTTGACTAGGGCTGTCAAACGATTACAATTTTTAATCAGATTAATCACAGTTTAAAAATGAATTAATCATGATTAATCACCATTCGAACTATGTCCAAAATATGCCATTTATTTATGTATATTGTTGTGGGAATGGAAAGATAAATGAAAGAAGGCGGATATATCCATTTAACATGCAGTATCTATGTTTATTATAACATTTTTCTGAGTGTCAAAATGAAAGACAACCCACACACCTATCAATCATCAAACCGTGGGGTCTTAATTCATTACAGTGTTGATTTCTATCAACGGGGGAGTACTTCAGGAAAGTCGACAGAGGGGGGGGGGGGGGGGGACGGCGGCTAGTGGAGTACTTCGTGACCACAGAGTGTGAACGTTGTGATCAGCTGTTTTAGCACAGTTCTCCAGTGAAGGGGGGGGAGTCTCCCTCCGCAGCCGGTTGGCGTAGTTTGGCACAATTCCGTTGTACAGACCGACGTTAACAGCAGCCCTGTCTGTGCACACGGAGACCGACTCTGTCGTCCGGTGATCTAACCGCCTTCTGGAAAAGCTTCCACAAGTACGTCGGTACGCAAATGCGCTTTGTGACACAAGTGACGGTACGCATTTCAGATTACGCACATAACCAGCGTACCAGTTATGTGCACCCCTGTACTACAGCAAAAGTATTCTCCGTCGGGACTTCCTGCAACAACACCACGCCGTTATCTTGATTCTGATTGGCGCCAGAAGACATTATCAAAGATGTTCTATTGAGAAGACGATCATTACGTGACAAAAGTTTTCAAAACCGTGGCTACTGAAATCAATCTTACTAACTGCTGTCTGTGCAATTTACTCCGCGGGAGTTGGCAGACTTTATTTTGCTTACTTTAACATCATTTTTCATGGTGGGGCTAAAGCCATTTCTTGGTATGGGTGTGTAGCCTACCCCAGCCATACCCTGGCGCTGCCACTGGTGGCACGTATGGGGCGGGCCATTCTGCACATGCGTTAAATGCGTTAAATATTTTAACGCAATTAATTCAAAAAATTAATTACCGCCGTTAACGCGATAATTTTGACAGCACTAATTTTGACACCATATTTAGTCTGATTGACATAGTATGAGTCAAATCTTAAAATATATTTGTACATAGTTCTAATGAGATTTCAAGCAGAAAAATCATCAGTGTAATCACACAAAAACTGACCTACATTGACTCAAATGTATTCAGAACCATATTCATTTATTAGACCTACTGAATGTGAGGTTTTGATCATAAATACTCTAAATCACTTAACACATTGCTCTTGTCCGTTGCAGGTATTTTCTACATATGTGCCTACAGGATGTGTGAGTGCAGGAGAGGGAACGGCCCTCGATAGAGGGCGACAGACAGTTTGTTTAAAAGAGGACAATACCACTTTGAGTCGAGGAAAGACACGGCGCAGTGTTGACTGATCTACTGAAGAGATGACGTCTGATGCTGGAGGCCTTTCACGGTCTGCTTGATATGTTTTCTAAAGTTATATTCTTGTAATATGGATTGTTTTTTTAGAAGTAGTCATGAGGAACATAACATAATCATGTGTCAAATGATTGTAAATGAACAATGGTATTATTTAACTTTCCTTTTTCTTAAATCTTTCTGTAATTTAGCAAATTCAATAAAGCTGGTCCTCAAATATTGGTGAGATTTTTGTTGATGAACTGAAAGGCCGCCAGAAGATGGCAGCACTGAACCACTCCACTTAAAGTAGCAGAGCACTTTGATTCAGGGAATTGGGCCTTGCATTACAATACATCAAAGCTATACAGTCCATTTGTCTGTCTCAGGATTCTCCATGGAGGTATTTGATTTGCTTCCTGTTTCCTTATTTCAAACAAGGATTCCGCCAAACTACACCTGTTATTACACTGAACAAAAATATAAATGCAACACTTTTGTTTTTGCTCCCATTTTTCATGAGATGAACTCAAAGATCTAAAACATTTTCTATATACACAAAATAACCATTTCTCTCAAATATTGTTCACAAATCTGAAAAGATCTGTGATAGTGAGAACTTCTCCTTTGCCGAGATAACCCATCCCACCTCACAGGTGTGGCATATCAAGATGCTGATTAGACAACATGATTATTGCACAGGTGTGCATTAGGCTGGCCACAATAAAAGGCCTCTCTGAAACGTGCAGTATTGCTTTATTGGGGGGGTCTGGGGGGGTCCGAAAACCAGTCAGTATCTGGTGTGACCACCATTTGCCTCACGCAGTGCAACACATCTCCTTCGCATAGAGTTGATCAGGTTGTTGATTGTGGCCTGTGGAATGTTGGTCCACTCCTCTTCAATGGCTGTGCGAAGTTGCTGGATATTGGCAGGAACTGGAACACGCTGTCGTATACGCCGATCCAGAGCATCCCAAACATGCTCAATGGGTGACATGTCCGGTGAGTATGCTGGCCATGCAAGAACTGGGATGTTTTCAGCCTCCAGGAATTGTGTACAGATCCTTGCAACATGGGGCCGTGCATTATCATGCTGCAACATGAGGTGATGGTCGTGGATGAATGGCACAACAATGGGCCTCAGGATCTCGTCACGGTATCTCTGTGCATTCACAATGCCATCAATAAAATGCACCTGTGTTCGTCGTCCATAACATACGCCTGCCCATACCATAACCCCACCACCACCATGGGCCACTCGATTCACAACATTGACATCAGAAAACCCCTCACCCACACGACGCCACACACGCTGTCTGCCATCTGCCCTGAACAGTGAAAACCGGGATTCCTCCGTGAAGAGGACACCTCTCCAACGTGCCAGACGCCATCAAATGTGAGCATTTGCCACTTAAGTCGGTTACGACGACGAACCGGAGTCAGGTCGAGACCCCGATGAGGACGACGAGCATGCAGATGAGCTTCCCTGAGACGGTTTCTGACAGTTTGTGCAGAAATTCTTTGGTTATGCAAACCGATTGTTGCAGCAGTTGTCCGAGTGGCTGGTCTCAGACGATCTTGGAGGTGAACATGCTGGATGTGGAGGTCCTGGGCTGGTGTGGTTACACGTGGTCTGCGGTTGTGCGGCCGGTTGGATGTACTGCCAAATTCTCTGAAACGCCTTTGGAGACGGCTTATGGTAGAGAAATGAACATTCAATTCACGGGCAACAGCTCTGGTGGACATTCCTGCTGTCAGCATGCCAATTGCCCGCTCCCTCAAAACTTGCGACATCTGTGGCATTGTGCTGTGTGATAAAACTGAACATTTTCAGAGTGGCCTTTTATTGTGGCCAGCCTAAGGCCCACCTGTGCAATAATCATGCTGTCTAATCAGAATCTTGATATGCCACACCTGTGAGGTGGAATGGATTATCTCGGCAAAGGAGAAGTGCTCACTATCACAGATTTTTTCAGATTTGTGAACAATATTTGAGATAAATGGTTATTTTGTGTATATAGAAAATGTTTTAGATCTTTGAGTTCATCTCATGAAAAATGGGAGCAAAAACAAAAGTGTTGCATTTATATTTTTGTTCAGTGTAGTTTTTCCACGATGGTAACTATCTTTGCTTGTGGCAGCCAGCACGATCTTCCACAATATGTTTGTTTTTCAGGGTACACTAAAGTACAGTCAGCTCATGGAAAAGTGTTGTTTGTGCCTGCATGTGAGTACATACAGCACAACCTGAGGAGAGGATCCCCTTCCTGTACTGGGGGGGGGGGGCCAGGGGTGGGGTCTCCAGCCTCTGATTGTTCCCCTGCCCCCGTCTTTAATAATGGCTTCCTCCTTTTTCTTGGTACTCGTCCATACTTCACCATCAGCTGGGAGGAGAGGAGCAGTAGCTGCCGGGGTAATGAATGCTTCGACTACTTGGTGACGTAGAAACAATGAGAGAAATGTAAACAGTCACAGGACAGATCCCTTGATCCAAGTTTCCATACTTGGTCTCTGTGGCTGCTGCGGAGAGATAAGCTCTGTAATATTGTGAGCTTCTCTGCGGATTCTTTCATAACCCCGCTGTCAAGCTTCCACTCAGGCCAGGTCTTAATGGCCAGTGGGATAACTTGGCAACTTTTTGCGAGGCTAGAATATGAGGTTTTATAGCACCAGATTTGTAGAAATTGACGAAACAAGAATGGTGCTGATATTTCATTAATCTAAAGTTACTTAAAATAATGTCTTTATTTAACGCTCATGTAGTTTATATGAGTGCATTTTTTATTAGAAATATATATAACAGTATTAGTTTTTTTCAGGTCAAAGCCTTCATCAACTCAAATCACATTGCGAAATCATCTTCAAAAGCATTGGAAAGTATTTTAGGCCCTAACATTTTTATGATCTTTTTGATCATAACAAGGTAAGCAGGTTGCTCATAGACTCTTTAACTTTCTGTATGTTTGTGTAAAAAAATAGTGTAAAAGGGGAAAATATGAGATTCTTTTTTTAAAGTATTGCCATTACAAATTCCTCATTCTGCTTTACAGTTTAAAGCTATACTTTGTTGTGGTTGCATTTGAGAGGGACACTGCTAGATCTCTAGAATATATTTTTAAGGCTGAAATTGAATATACAATTGCAACAACAGACATTTATTTCAATTAATACTAACAGAAACTGGCCAGACCAAATATGTGCTTTCAGTGTAAGTTTAACTTGACCAATGTATATAAATGTCATTCAAAAGTACATAGTTGAGGTTTATATGCAGGAATGCAAGGTGAAGGTCACCCTCCGAGGCGTCTGCTCACCCCACTATTAGCCAAAGTGTCTCTTGAACTTCAGTGTGGGATGACACCTGGTAGTTTTCACTTACAGCCTGTTGATATATGTGACAATTGACTAAATGTGGTTAATTTTACAGACCTGCAATTAGTCTCCGAGGCAGATGTTGCCCCAGCTGTTTATGGGGTATACAGAGACTCAAACATGCTAAAAAATGCCAAGAACAGCAAAACAAACTCAAAGGTGGATTGTGTAATTAAAGAAATAGGGTGGTAACACAATTAGCTAAAATGCAAACATAATAATAATACTAATAATAATAATAAAACACAAGCATACAGGAAAGAGACACCACAGTGGGCATGTCTGTGTGTTTGAGCAGTGTTATTGTTAATTTGGCAAAGTCATTCATACCAAGCAAAGCTGACAACATAAATGAATGGAAGCCATATCTAGATTGGTGTACACATTTACGATCCACAGAATAAAAAGTTAATGAGTCCAAAACCAACTTTCACAATCAATATCCATTTTCCAAGATCATAAATCACTGACAATTGTTTCTTTTTGATAGAAAAAACTGAGGAAAAACAAACTAAAACGTTTATCTTTATATCTATTATTTTATTTATCTTTCCGTTTTCTTTTTGGTTCTGTCACGTAATTTCATTGAAAAACATAATACTTTTTAAATCTTCAAAGTTTGTATAAAAGAAAAAGGGACTCTTTCCACCTTCCCCAAATCTCACCATTTCACATGAATATGTGAACGAAGGCTCTGATTCTAGATCTTTTGCTTCTAGTTGCTAAAATATGACATGATTCAAAGCATATATTCCCCACATTATTTTTAATTGTTTAATCTGTAATATTTATGAAGGATTATGCTAACTCTTTGGCCTGGTCTCCCACTGACTGACGGTCAGAGTAATTGCCCTCAGTGACGGAAAAGTATGCTGACACAGCAGGATCTTATAAAAACTGTCCTCCTCCCACCCGGCCTCGTCCCATGGAGCTTTCCCCCGATCCCCCCACACCCTCCCATTGTGACTCCCTGATCCCTAATGTTCCTAAACATAACTCCTTCTTAACCATTAACCTACTGCGAGCTTTATACTGCGTTTCCGTTTTAATACTTCAATGAGACAATAGGCGTGACACCATGAGACTACGTTTGGGAAAGACTTTATTGTGCCGAACAGGTGAACACTAATGTGGTATTGCATTTAGTGCACACAATACAAGAGACCAGGAAGATAATAAAAGATTGCACAGGGCAACGAGGGAATAAAAGTATATAATTTACATATCTGGTCATAATAGAAGTCTACACATCATTGAATATGGAGTGGATTCATTTTACATAAAATACACAACTTCTGAGTGGATGTCTGTTGCAGCTCCCGGTTGGTTTGTTTCGGAGGAGAGGTTGTGATGTTGGAGAAAACTGCTGCTGAATGTTAGTTAAGGTCGCTGTGGAATATGATATTTGGGTTTTGCAGATCACCTTTGTAATAAAGATAGTATTGGTCCCATCTGAAATACAAATAATCTAAAATGAATGTGGCACGTATTGTTCATGGCAACATTTACTTGAGAGTATACTTATATATCAGAGGTTGTTTTCTTTTAACCCCTCTTCGTACTAATCAAGTGTCATATTATAGCATTTAGTTCCAA